TCTACCCAGATTATGTTATTTGACTGCAATTTAATAATTTCAAATATCACTTTTTTATATTCATTGTGTACATCACTGTATCCTCGGGAACATGTTTATCACAGCAAAAGCTTATTAATAACCTCAACAGCTTGAAAGGAAAAATTTGTAAACCCCAGTTTTCAGTTCTTCAACTACTTTAGTTTATATGACTACAACCAGAGCAAAGCAGGACAAGAGGACATCATATATATCAATATGACAAATATATTATTCATTTTTCTGTAGTCAGTGACATTTTTACAGTTTACGAAAGTTAAATCATAAAAGTCCCTTAAAAAAGAGACATTTTGACTTTGATTTACAACTGGATCAAGCTATTAATTGCACAATAAATCAAACCTAATCAAAATCTGTACAGAATTGAGCTGCTGGTATTGTAGGAAAATGGCCTTTCACCTGAGCAGAGAATTTTTTCCTAATGATTTTTAAAAGGAAATAGTATTTCATAAATGTCTGATGGCTAACTTCTTGTTTGGTCACAGCTGGGCGTGGTTTGTGAGCTGTAACTCATTTCAGCCCCCTCTCCCCTATAATGTGCTCCTCACTGCAAATAATTTGCTCCTCACTGCAAGGCCCCTGATTTCATCTAGTGTGACACCTCCTATCCTTAATCATACCCACGTGTCAAAGTATTTCCTATAGACATGGTCCTGCTGCCTCAAATTTTCTGCTTTTGCACTGAAAGATTTGCTGCTGGTGTAAATTTAGGTAAGAGAGAGCTAAATGTGGCTGAGGATTTAAATAGTTTCCATTTCAGAGAAACCCAAGATTTTTAGCCTGTGATTATTTCTGTTCACTACTTTCTGTTACCAAAACTTCTTTAGATCTCTGAAGTGCCTTAAGAAATGTCCCTAAACACTGAAGTTTTGTTGATGCCACCCCCTAGGTAGCCTTTTAATAGAAATCCTATGGATTGTGCTGCTTTCCCTATGGGTTTGTGGGAAGGTGAGTATTACTGGCTGCTGAGACCGGGCATGAGAGAGCAGGTGGTGAACTTTTAGATGCTTCACTTTTACAAGAGCACTTCAGAACGCCTGTAATACTGAGTGTATGACAGTGGGTGGAAGTGAAGTAATTAAAAGCTGCAGAATTTGGAAGTGTATTTGAAATTCTTATGCAGGTACAAAAATGTCATCAGCGATTTTAGGAGCACTGTTTATTCTGAGACTCTCAGAGGCTGTCTCAGCCCTCAGCTGGGAGAAACACAGCAACACTACACATATAATGGGGAAACAAAGGGGAAAAACCCCTGAAACCTCTGTTCAGTGTTAAAGGAAAAACTTTAGAATGTGGTAGATATTAAAATTAAAAAAAAAAAAGTACTTTGGTTTTCCTAGTTCCGTGTGAATGCAATGTTGTCCTCTTAATTCACTGTAAAAGGTCTCACAGTCAGCTCTTTCTTAGGGTGAATGTATAAATAATATTAGGGAATACCAGTCAAACATTTTTCTGTTCAGTAAGGAATGTTGCATTAAGTTTGATGCCATGATACCCATTCAGCAAGTTTCTTTATTATTCCCCTTCATCCAGTGGTATTTGCCTAAGTGCCACCTTTTTGCTGTTACCAGTGCTCTCCTTCACACATATGACTGATGTTACAAACCTGCCTCTTTTTTATCTCTCCCCTCACTCATCTGGATGACTAAAGCCATCTAAAACCCATCCAAATTTTGGTACAGAGGTTACCTTTCTTGTAAGAAAAACTAGTATTTTGCCATCACTGTTTTTTCAGTATTCTGGAGAGAATGACATTGAGTCTGTTATTAGGAATCAATTTCTCAGAAATGGTTAAGAGTGGGAAGGCTTTGGTTACTATTTTTAAGCAGAAGGGGAAATTTAGTACCCCTGCTCCAGGTGTTTCTATCAAAAGAAACCAGGAAACTATTATGTATCAGCATTTCCAGGCTCCAAAAGGTATGCTTTTCTCTAAAGAGCCTTAAGTTTGTCATTAACTTTATCATCCAAAGGTGCTTGGAGGCTCATTGGAATCCAGCAATGCCAGCCAAGTCAGTGCTCACTCTCTGGGTCAGGAACCTTGCCATGATTTCTTTGCAGTCCAAAATTCCCTGGGTTTCTTTGTCACTCAGCCTGGTTATGGGCACTGCTGCTCGTGCTGCCTCTGGAGCCTTGGCTTTCCCCTTGGGTTTATCTGGGGATGGGCATTTCTATCCAGCTATTTCAATGATCCCATGGAAGCTACAAACAGGAAAATAAAGATAAAAGAGCTGGTTTGTCTGCAGGGGCTGCAGAACTGTGTATTGAGCTGTACAATTGTAAAATAAATATAATTTTAGTTCAGAATTGCTCTCTGTTTTTAAGGACAAATTTGCGTTTAATGTGGGCTGAATTCAGTTCTCAAATACAGAGATACAATCTGTCTTTAGTTACATTTCTTTGTCAGATTCCATATTCTTTTTCTTTCTTCCATAGTCCTTAAACCTTTCCCCATCTTGTTAAAACTATGGCATTTGCCCAATTAAATTTTATTTTCTCTAGTGGACCAGATCTAATACTACTATTTCCAGAGCTCCTTAGCAATATTCTCCAGATCTGTGCTTTTATTAATTAGCTTTTTTATATTCTTTCATGTAATTTTCATTTGTGGGGACAGTATTTCTATTTGAATGCATTTGATAAAATTTCCGAGGAAGTATTTACAGAACAGTATGGGTCAGTTATTTAAATTATGATAGTTGACTGGATTGTAAATTTGGACCAGACCTAGTGCTTCACTTACTGTTTTACTGAAACCCAAACATATAATAAAATTATCACCTTCTCAGAAGTTGCTTATATTTTTAATCCTGTCGAGTAAATAATCTTATTAGTTCTTGAACAGGACATCTTATATTGCAAAATAAACATGAACCAGTTAAAGAATTCATTAAACTTCCAAGAGCTTATATTAATGCCTTTTGCTGGATGTAGGAAATTTCCAAAGGCATTTGATGCCCTTTGCTTTCCATCTTGCTTACATTCTGGGAAAATCAAAGAGCTGGGAATTTATCACCATAATTACACAAAGTATCTTGAACAGAAGTCTCTTGTTCACGTAAATAGAAGCACTAGTTAAAAAAGTCAACTTCCCTAAATCTCTGAGGACTCACTGTGATATTCTTAAAGGTAATTATTCTGTAAATATTACCTTAAACCCAAATTTTAAAGCTATTCTGTTGTTCTTAGAACCTCTTCCCCACTTGTGCCTTTTTACATAGATAAACTTTGTGTTACTGATTCCCTGTCCTTTCTGTTTGGCACCCAAAGGACTCAGGAACCTCTAACGCTGCAGGCACAAGCACTGGACCAAACCCACAATTTAATTTTGTGTAGAGAGCAGAACTACAGAGAATAGAAAACTTGTACCTGCCTCTTTTTTATTATTTCCAGGTTAGGAAAAGTGAAGGCAAACCAGTGCTCCTAAATGCACCTGGCAGAACTTTAAACCCTGTTATTCACATTTGAAATTTGAAACCCAATTCTTGTGTATGAGAAGGTGCTTGAGGTAGTTCTGTCACTCTTCAATGGAAGCACTGGCTGTTTAGAGAATGTTTCACTTTTAATTCAGGGGAATATGAACTCCTATCTCTGTTAATAATGTTAAATGAGAAGAGCAGATGGGACCACTTAGTCTGAAATAGAATTTGGATCCTTGAGATGTGCTGAGTTTTAAGAGCAGCAGCATCACTGGAAGAAGAGCTTCAGGAGCAGCAAAAGTCCCACAAGAAAAAATTCCCTAATGGAATTAATAATGAAATATTTCACAAATATATTAAAAAAACAAATCTTAAAAGTAGCAAGCTTAAGCTACTGAAATAAGAACAAGCCCTGCTGTTTCATGACACTGTCTTGGAAGTTTTATAAGCTCTTGTAAAAAAATAAGAAAGAATTTCTATAGTGCCCTGAACATTTTTGTAGAAAAAACTCAATTACTAAAGAGGCACTGAGCCAACTTCAATCAGTGCAAAGGCTGCTGGAAAGAGCATTGGCACATTTCATGCTAAAATCACCTGCACAAATGGGGTTACCAACAACAGAGGATGAAGAGTCAGGAAGACTTCTCTAGACTTATATTTTTGGTATAAATAAGTTCTTTGCTATTTTAATTAAATTGACATAAATAGCAGGGGCCAATGGTTGAACACAACTATTAAATTTCATCTGAAGATTCTTATAAAGCGCTAAGGGAAGCAGAGCTGTTGAGGGGTGAGAGGGATTTTGTATAGGCTTAAGTTTAAAAGTGTAAAATGATTGCTTGCAGTGCACACCTTTTTTTCTTTAACGTAGATGGCTGGGTATAACCAGGCCACTATTTGAACACATCAAATAGACCTGCTCTGAATAAATGATTCATTTGCTATTTGGCAAACAAAATTTACTGAATGTCTAATAAATCCTGAAGTTCTTCACACAAAATGAAACACACTTTTTTCATTTTGTAAGAGTTGTGTGTTTCTACTTTGCATTCACTGGGGATAAAAGGCATCAAAACTGAAAATGCTCTAAACCTCCCTAAAACACTTTGTCTCACCTATAGCTATGGGTGACAAACTGCAGGGACAAGTCATTCAACACATTCCTCCTTTCAGTTCCTGGGGTTTTTGCTGTAATTGCCAGCAAGAATGTGAAATTGCCAGTCCTGGAGGTGCTGGATTTTGTGGTGTGAATGATCATGGGCAGCAGCCTGGACTGAGGCCAAAGAAGCCGTTTCATGTTTACAGCCATGAGTCTTCCAAGGGCAAGAGCCTGTAATTGCTCTTGGCCTGGATGAGGTTTAAACAGACAATCTCCATGTGAAGAACTCAATACCTGATTAATTCCTGACCATCCTGGTCAGTAAAGTGGTTTTCTAAAACGTATTTCCTGGTTTTCAAGGGAGCTTCAATAAAGGTTCTAGAAATAGTCTACGCCGGTGATGCAGGGAGAGGACTATTACATGCTTATCATTTATTCTTCCACAGAGGTGGGTTCCTGGCATATTGAAAACTTCCAGAGGATGAAATGGATTGGTTTGGCAGATCCAAAGAGCCTGAATTAATCCCCTGGTCAGAGCATCTGAACACTGCTGATGCGGAACAGCACAGCCAGCAATGTAAAGGTATGTCTGTTCTGAGTGAACACAGCAAGTCCATGATTTCATATTTTTTCAGGCCCTTGAGCTCCTTCATTTAAATTACCTGCAGTGTCAATTAGTGCTAATTAAGACAGAGATGGAATGATGGATTTGATGCAATCTAATGCATTTTAAGGAATTAGTGTTAAAAGCAAGTGTTTGGTGTTTGATGTAAATTACCAAGATAGGCCTTCTAAATATTAGATAGTTTAAAAACTAGGAGTGATAACGTTTTGTATCATCAGTTTTAGCCATTTAGTATCAGTCAGTGTATTACTGCCCATGTGTACATGCGCATTTGAGAAGGGTACTCATCATACCTGCCCATTGTAAGCAATTAACTTCAAAGTTATAAATTTTCTTATTAAATAGAATGATTCCTCAAAGCTAAAATCTTTGTACAATCTCTCCAGGACATCCATCCTGATGCAAGCACTTACAGACATCCCTTTTCTTCTGATGGGAGTGGCAGAACAGGGCATTGCAGCCACAGGGAATGGAAGGAAAAGCTCCTCAGCCCTTCCAGTGATCCATGTGTGCACTGGGGCAGTACAAGCTGCATGTCTGAGTCTGCCCCTGTGTGTACAGTGTTTGGAACAAGGGAATTAATTTCTGTCTTTGATATGTTGTATGACTTTATGCAATTCAGCTGAGGATAGAGCCCCTAATTGGTTAAGATTTCATAAATAAGGACTCATACAGTGATTCAGAGAAAAAGTAATTAGGGATCAAGATAGAATTTAGAATGGTTGTCTCAGGATATAGACTGAAATTCTCTGTATACAACTGGAGCACTGTTTAAATTAGTAAAAGGAAAGAGACCAGATTTCTCCTAAGGATAGTAAATATCAGTAACTTCAATGTGTGAAAAGCTGCTTCACACAATTCCATGCTGGAAATACTGATTCTACCATTCCTTTTGTTATTATTTTTTTTTTAGACATGTGAATTAACATTTAATTTCCATTGCATTCTTTTGGATAGGAAGCCCAAGTGTGAAAAAGTTAGATAAGTCTGCACTCCAGATTTCTTTTCTAAGTTCATCAATTAGGAAAAAAAATACATAAAATCAAATTCAAGTGCAATATTTGCAAGATAAGCCACACATTAGGATGGCTTTCTTTGGCTTTTAGGGATAAACACTTACCTCTGGGGTCAGTGCATTGTTCTCTGAAGTCTGACTTGACAGCAAAATATGTGTGAAACCGTCTTCTTTCCGGACTACAATGTCCCTGAAGCGGCAGTTACTTTCATTTTGTCGCACGCTGTATCTCAGTCTCTTATCGAAGACATAATCTTTCTCTCCATCAAGTTTCCTTTTCACAGTGCTGTGTAGATTCAAGCTTCCATTGGCCAGAGAAGAACCTTGCAGATGGAAAAAATCAAAGCATAATTACCCCTATACCATCAAAGAAACGGAGTGATACTTTCCATTAGCTTCAACAAAAATAAATAAATAAGAAAAAATAAATAAAAAAATGTGCCTGGCTAGTCAAATGTGGCCTCAAGCCATTGTTCTTATTCTGTACTCCAACGTGCAGAACTTTTTGTTCTCTGATCAGACAACCTCTAGACACAAGGAACTGATGCCATTTTGGAGAGTATCCAGGAGCAGGGAAAAAAAAGAGAAGAAAGATACAATTCCTCCTTAAAAACAAGTAAGAGCAATAGTAAGTCAGTCTTAAAAGACAGTTTATTCTTACACTGTGTATGAGCTGCAAACCATTCCTTTGCTGATGTCTACAGTGTTTCTGTAACAGGCAATAGAGGATGACTGGCAACAGTGCTGATAGGGGTGTCGAAGGAGCTTTACAAGGTTTGCATGCAATAATCTTTTTCTAATTGCAGATGTTTCAGACTATTGCCATTAAAAATAAAGCAGACACAGGCTGTTGAGGGACAGAGATTAAAGTCACTGGTTTTTGTTTATATAGATACCAGCCCACAATGCACCATTTTTAAGAAAGGCCAAGAGAGCTGAATGAAAACACCTTTGTTTGTTCTGTTCTTTACTCCTGCCAAAGCTGACCTGTTCCAACTCCTGGTTTCAAATAGCCAAGAATATTTAAAGGGCAGACGACATGAATATTAGAATACAGATTTAAATTTTATAGTTTAAGTGACCTCCATCCAATTAAAAATGCTCTGCTAGAGTAGAATTGAACAGTGAACTCATGACAGATGACTAAACCAAAATCACTTAGCCTCATTTTGGATTAGCTATGTTTCAGCCTGATGCTTACGTAGGTAACTGATCTGTCTGACACCTCAGAGTTGGCAGTGGCCTGTGGAATTGTTCACAGTGTGTGAAATGCTGTATGTGCACTGCAGTTAGGAGATGGGATGTGAAAACACAGCCAGTGCTCAGCGGTGTGTGGCTGAGTCTCATGTGGTGCGTGCGTGTGCGTACTCACACATCTACATTCGGGGATCCGCCTTCGTCCAGGAGCCTGCTCAGTCAATCAGGAAACTCTTTTTTGTTGTTGAATTAAGAGATACCATCTAAAGCACTGCCTGGGTTATACTGAATAGAGGATTTACCTGGTGCAATGCAAACATGGCCAAATTCCATTAAATCATCGGTTTAAAAAACAATCATTTGAAACCAGAAGTTGGAAATTTGTTTTCTTGACAAAAAGTGTCTACAAGTGTAGAAATAACCATGTTTGAACTTTAGTATTACCATGCTTGAACTTTAAATGCTATGAATAATTTCCTATGACACGTTTCTTCTTTTTCCTAAGGTTTTTTTTGGACATGTATTCTTACTAACGGAAATCAACTTGTGAGATTGCTAATAGAACACCAATGTCATTGGGAATAATGTACTGAAACTAATTAACTCTTTGACTGAATCAGGTTATTAAATATTGCATCTTTATCTATTCAATACTTAACCAGCAATACGCTACTGAATTGTGGTGACTTCAAACTCCCAAAAAAGTGTAAAGAACTTACAAAATCAGAGGCACAAATGCCCACTGAATGGAAGATGTGTCAGACTAACTGTACTGATTATCTACCTACTGTGGAAGATTATGCTACATCTATTTTAAATACAGATGGTAAGAGAAGAGTAGAAGATTAATTCACACAAATAATCCAGCTCAACAAAAAGCTTCACAATAATTTTTTTGGTTTGTTTTATTCTTCCTTATGTATTCAGTTTGTAAATGAATATATGATGTAAGAAACTAAAGATCTTATCACACTATTTTAACTATCTGGATGCCAGATGAAAGAAATTTAACCAGAGAAAAGATCTAAATTAAATGTGAGGGAAACATAAATGAGAAAGTGCCATTTTCAAAAGTAGATCATTAGCAGAACAATATATAGTGAGTAGCTTGTGGTTTCCGTGTCTCCAGTGCGTCCCTGTAATCTTGTTTAATCCGATAAACTGGAGAAAATGATCAGCACACTCTAAAGACAACAGTGATGTGGAACCAGGCCAATTTAGCACGTCTGCTGTGTGGAACTCCTGAAGCCTGCTCTGGAGCCACTGGAGCCATTGGGATTGTCCCTGTATGAGGGTCAATAGTCAGCACCCGCTCAGGGCACACAAGGGGAGCAGCACCTGAGTATGTCACGGTGAAAAATGACTGTGACAGGCAAGAAGAGACATTCAGAGTCTCAAAGCAATTTATACTGCACATGAAACAAATTAAGGATGCCTCAAATTAACTAAGGAAGCTTTAGATACATCTAAGTATGGTTTTCTGGCTTAACAGTAAGTGAGTATTTGATGCTTAGTCTAAGTACAAAAAGGAAACAGACTGGGAGAAAATACTCTTTCCTTTAGTGGGAGTTTAATCTAATTATTAATTTGTGTTTAATCAGCAATAGAACTTGTGGAATACTAAGCCAACATTTATATTTATAAGAATATATGAATTCAATTTTTTTTTAAGGGAACCTAAGATGTTCCCATACCACTGCTGCATGTAGTAATCCTTCTCCAAGAACAGCAGTAAAAGATGGCAGCAAAGGATGCTATTTAAGGAGAAAATGCAAACTTGGTTGCATTCTGCAGTTCTTTCCCATAGTATCATCCCTAAGTGTTGTATAGAAATATGGAAAGGCTCATCCCTCCTGTTTTCCTTCAGTGTTTGCTTGTGAACCTTTTCATGGATTTTTCTAATCCCCTTCTGAGGCTGTTGATGCTGTCTGTCTCCACAGCTTCCTGTGGTATGACTCTGAGAAGTTGGGTAGCCACTACACAGAGAAAAAATTTCTTTCATCTGTGCTTTTATCTGATGTTCCACCAGTTTCTGTGAGTGGTCCCTAGTTCTGCTGTCGAGGGATTTCAAGAGCAACAGTTCTGCATTTAGTATATCTGAGACCTGGATGATTTTGTAAACTTTGATCATGCTGCCCCTCAGCCACCCCTCTCCTAAACTGAAGCCTCTTTTATTCCTGTAAGCCTCTTAATTTTAGCTGCCCATTCCTGCATCTTTTACAGTACTCCACCACTGCTGAAGGGTCTGAGACTGAGGCTCCATTCTACTAGGCATTGCAGAAAACACATTGGAAATTTATATTCCAAAAAGCTGAGGCAGACAAAGAGTGGGAGAGGAAAGTGAGCAAGACGGCACTGACCCTCAGTGCTTTGGGGGACTTGGAACTCCACATCTCCTTCCACCAGGGGTGCTTCTGCCCACTGGTAGAGGACACCTCAAGCTCCTGCCATTTACATATACATCTTTTCTGAGTGTTCCATCAGAGCCAGTTTAATGGTGCAGTGGCTGTGCCACCACCCTCCACAGCAACCCCAGTGCTGGTATGAGCAGCCACACCATGGATTGGCCTGGTGATCTGCTCTGGCTGAAAACTCACCCTGCAAAACTGGTTAATTTTCAAACAATGCAGTTCACCTTGTAGCCTCAAAAGCACTAAAACTGGTGCAGAGGGAGGGATGGGAATAACAATCAGGGTGTCATGGGAAGGAGAGCTGGACTGTTGCTTTTATTAGCAGTACGCATTTA